CTGGTTCCCCTAGGTCTGTAGGGGTGCCTAGACCTGCTTCCCTTAGGCTTAGGGGGTACTTGCATGAGCGGTGAACCCGACCTGTCTTCTGCAATTGCCGAGGTTCAGGCAGCGCTCGAGCGCTTACGCCTTGCGGCCGACAGGTCCGCATCGGCCTCTCAAGGCTGGAGCTTTGTGGATTCTCCGCCCGAAACGTCGTCCGTTCCCCATCCTGTAGGTTCTAGTGATAGGGTTCCTAGTCCTCATCCATCCCCTGGGGTTGCTAGTAGGCACGCTCCTCCAGCTGCCCCCACCCGTGCTGAGACCGCATCCTCATTTGCAGCCTGCCCTCAGTACTGCCTGGACTTGTGCAGTCGGCTCACTTCCTCATCTTTGTCTGCCTCAGAGCGGGCAAAACGTGCTTGGGCTGCAGGCCTCTGGGCCAGAGAGGTTTTGGACGGGAGGTGGGCTACGCCGCTCCCTTCTCCATCCGTGGGTCTTCGCCCTACTGTGTATATCGTGCTTCGCTGCGTTGATCTGGCAGAGCCTGCCCGCTACAGCACATATACCGCCTTCCGTCGAGCAGTTGGCCCGCTGGAGAATTCCTCCACCGTCTGCCACTCCTTCCCATCCTTGGCTGAAGCCCGTGTGTATTGCTACGCTGCTGGCGTTCCTTTGCCTCACTTGTGTCAGTGATGCTTGCCCTTGCAGATCTGCATATTGGGGGGGAAGGCCCTCCTCCACCATGCGTCCTCAGCTGGACAGGCGTGTGCAGCACTGGCGAAGCCCGACAGGTTTTGTTGATGCCGCTGCTGCTCCGAGAGGGTGGCTTCTTATGCGCCCTGCCTGCAGACTTGCAACCGGAGGTCGTGGCCGAGACGGGAGCTCCTTTGCCAACTCCCCTGTTAGGGCCTTGTCGTTTGGTCACCGTCCCGGCTATCGAGGAGGACGAGCATGGCGAGGAGATACCTTCAGGCTTGGATATCCAGGCCTTGCTGTTGGATCTAGAGATCGGGGCCTTAGCTTCGATGAGGCTTTTCGACCCCGTGACCGAGACAGGGACTGTGCACTCTTTTGTTCAGGAGTCCCCGCACTTGATTCCGCAGTATGCTGCCCTTCTCCAGCAAGCCAGCCAGGCTTTGGATCGAACAAGAGACGACCGAGAGGTTGGGGTTCTATTCAGCTCAGAAGGAAGAGGTTCCGCCTGTTCCTGCCAAGAAAGCTTCTCCCAAACCAAAGCGAGTCACTGTGGGCCTTCCGAGCAGGTATCTTCTCTGGCAACTTTGCTCCCAGGCCTGATCGATCAAATGAAGTCTGTCATCGAGAGGCAGGACCGCATCGAAGCAGGGGCCGCTCTCCAGCCTCAGCCGTCCCCTCCTGTGCCAAAGCCTCCGCGTCAGCAGAGTTTTGTGATCCCAAAAGGACCTGGCCTGCCCATGCCGAAGGTTACTGCTCTTACCGGGCCTCCGCCTCGGACCAGGCCTCCAGAGGTTCAGACACCCGCCCTTGCAACAGGCGTAGCCGGGGCAGCCCCAGACGTAGACCCCGCGGCTGCCCTCACCGGTAGCTTCCCTTGCAGCTCGCAGGAGCTATGCAGGCTGCACTGCTCCAGCAAAGCCAGGCCCTTTCTACTCTTGTGGGCCACCTGGTGTCGCAACAAGATGGTGGCCTGGCAGACCTTTCGTCGACCCCAGGGTCGATAAATCTGAGTGCAAAAGGGGCCGCCAAAAGGGAGAAGCTTCAAGCTGCGCTGGCCAGCCGCTCGGGGGACTTCTTTCTTCAAGTGATGCAGGCAGCTTTCAAAAGGCTGAATCCTTCAGCACCTTGCCCGGCATCATTGAACGACTTGTCAGGTCAGGTGTCGATTTGCCACTATTTAGAAAGGTTTGGGGGCTTTGGGGGTCAGCGCGAAGCAGGCTATGTCATGTGGTGCTTGGCTCACATAGCCGACTGTCTGATCCAGCAGGACATACAAGGAGCACAGGAGTTTTTGGCGCTCACCTTGGTGGCGGTCGATCAGAGCGTGATCGACCACGGTCGTTGGAACTTTGCCTGGATCCTTACACTCCTCGAGGACCCCCCGGCCCAGCTGTTCCATGCGAGGCCATACAGCTCGAACCCCATATCCAGAGCGTTTTCTCCGTTGTCTCCGGTGGCTTGGACTACTTGTGCCCTCCAGTACTTGAAGGAAATCGACCTCATTACGACCCGTCGTCTGGCAAGTCTGGGAACTGGGCCAAAGGCTGCAGCCAGCAACCAGCAGGGGGAGCCATCCCCAGAGACTCCGGAAAAGGCAAAGAGGCAGCCACGGTACCCGCGAAAACCGAAGGCGGATGCCGCTCCTCGTTCTCTAGGGAATAGGGGTTGTAGACCCGAACCCTTTGTGGTTTCCCCTAAGTTTTCTCCTGATGCCCCCCGTGTCGACTCTGCATGCTCCTCCGCCTGCCGGGCCTCTGGACTTTCTGCCCGGCACGTCAGGTGCCCAAGGCATCCCAGTGCTGCGCCCGGCCACCGCCTGGCCTTCAGCATAAACAGTGTGCTAGTGCAAGCCTGGATTTTTCAACGCAAGTTTCCTTTTGCCTGCTCAGGTCGGTGCTGCGTACACGCACCCCCTTTGCCCATTTTCTTCGGTCCACTTTGCATCTGCACAGGTCTCCTCGACCTGCTCAGCCTTCAAGGGGTTCGGCTTCCAAGCTTTTCCCTTTGCCTGTCTGCCATCCGGGCGTCTTTGAGCGCTTGTCATTCGAGATTGGCTCGAGGGCTAGGAGGCGCATCCTCCTTCATGTTGTCTGCATGGGGCTCAACTTTCTCCATGCCGACTTTGTTCCACCGCCCTTGGACTCTCTTGCCCTGCCGCCCACTGTTGCACAGCGAAG